TCATGGAAAAAGGGTACTTAAAAGTGTTTGAATTGTATTTTCAATCCAAAAATGAAGCTCAGAAGTAAAAGGAAGCAGGAGAAGCGGTTAGGAGCTCGGGAATTCAATAAAGAAGAAAAACACCAAAAATAACACCTACTCGGCGAGTAGGGTTGACTACTCGGCGAGTCCAAGTGAAGATTCGAGAAGATAACGACTCGGGAACCCAGATACTTATCGCATACGGGGATTGTGAGATGGACTCGACGAGTCGTCACCTGACTCGACGAGTCGATGCGTGAATATAAAGATAAATTCTCAGATCGATGAAAAAAACTTCTGGGACGATTCTGGAAAAATTAGTTGTGATTCAGAGGCCAGAGAAACCCTAGAAGACGAAGATAGAAGCTACAATTCAATCCCGAAGGAGATTTGAGGCAAATTTCATCATTCTACTTAATCTTTTGTTTTCCATTATGGCTAGACAGTTAGAATTCGTTTTTAGGCTGTTATTTACTTCAATCATGAGCTAAAACTCTTAACTTCTGTTTGGGGATACAAAATTGAGACTATGGTTTGATTATTGGTAAGATTAATTCAATGTTGGTGATATTTGTTATTTTAGCTTGCTAAAGAACCTTGTGTGTGAATGATAACTAATTTTCTGTTAATAGGAAGGTAATTAAATAGCATGAACATCGTTTGATTATCAACCCCATATACCATGTGACTACTTTGTTATATGTCTAGGATTAATGAACATGAAACTAGAATTAATAAGAAAATTAAGTAAATCCATGTGCAAGCTTGTGTGATGACCATCAACAAGAAGTTAATTAAAAGCCAAATTGGTTAACTATTGTAAGTCTAAAGTAATCCGAATAATTAATCTAGTGAACTAAATTGAATTAGACAACCGATCACTGTTTAAGTTAGTTTATTTACTAAGGATTAGTGTAGTGAATGCAAACCTAGTCACTCGAATCGGTAACCAACAAAAGAGTTAATCCATTGCACTATTACCTTGAAATCAACCATAGGATCAATTGAGTTGAACTAAACAGAAGTTCCTTCGTGTTATTGAATCTAGTTAATTCTTTGCTTTTCTAGTTTTTAGATTGAGTAATAGTTGTAACGTCTGTGTTTCTGGGCTTGCCATTTTTAGCAATGTAATAGTCTAGGTTAACCTTTGTAACCCGTTTTGGAATAATAGAAGTGTATTATTTGAGTATTATGTGTTTTGTGCTTAATTGCTTAATTATGTGGTTTGATTAATTAAGAATAAAAATAAGAGTCAAAATTTAAGTGTAAAATAAACTTGATATCTTTAGATAATGTTATAGTAGTTGAAACATGGTTTCCGAATATATAAAGAATGCAGAAATCCGAGTTATAACGAAGAGGTTATGAACTGTCGAAGTTTCGCGACAGAACCGGCAATGCTGAATGACGTAAAAAGTGCAATTTATGTTAGAGCGATAGTTAGCCTTAGTGATCTAAACAAGAATCGAAGATCTCGTTGTCAGTATCAAAGCGATAAAAATTTAGGCGAGAACGGACGTCAAACGAAGAAGTTATGAATTTATAACGAAATTTTCTGTCTCGGCCAATTAAAAATAAATAATAAAAATAAAGTCAAAATTAGCCGACGGAGCCTAAACAAAAGTTGTAGAGCGTAGTCTCACCTTCGCGTGGATATAAAGAACATCGAAAACGGAGTTCGTATGAAGAAGATATGAATTTCCGAAGTTTATTAAATAATTAATAATTAAATTTAATTATTAAATCCGGCCTTATCCGAAGGCGAGTCACCGGGCTCATCCGGAGTACGCCCCGCATACAGTGAAGAGTGTCGACACTCGCACTCAAGGACTTCGGATGACGCATGCAGTGATGTTTCGGAGGCAGTACGCCCCGCGTACTGCTATACGCCCCACGTACTGCGAGGCATCAGCCTCCTATAAATAGGATGCGAGGGCAGCCGGCTTCTTTGCTATTTTTCTCCATTCTCTCTCCCTATTTGCCTTGATTTGCATGCCAGAAGTACCCCGAATCCCCGGTAATATTCCCGAGTCCCGAAGCAAGTCCCGAGATCCCGAAGATCCCGAGAAGTGCGGTTTTCGAGCCGAAGCTCTGCCCGCGAGAAGTTCGATTTTTGTTGAGATCTTCCAGATCTGCTGAGGATTACTACTTTTTCAAGTCGTAGTGTTGTCCGATCATCTTCTGATCAGGTGAGTGTATACTACCTTTCATAAATGCAATAATAATACAAGTATGGTTTGAGTGTATTAAGTATATTGTTGTTTATATGTGTGACTGTGTTGTTACTTTCTCCTAACGTATAATTATGAAGTATTTTATACGAGATACGCGTTATGTGTATATTTGGTTGTTATGTGTGTGAATGTATATTCACTTTCTTCTATCTTACAGATCTGATTATTTCTATATGAAATACGTGTTATGTGTGTGCCTCATCTGTTATATGGAAAATGTATTGATCAAGCATGCTATACAGGTTTTGAAAATATGTATAAAAATGTATGTTTTTATCTACTAATATGTTGGGTAGAACATGGGTAGATAGTTGGTGTGTAATAAACAGATGAGAGGCCTCGTTGTTGTTTTGATCCAGTCATCTAGCGGAATTTAGATGACGACCACGGGCTTTTCTAGACAGTCCAGTGGAACGCTAGCAGGCTCATAACCTGTAGGTGTTAATGAACTTGGGTGTTCATTCGCTGTATTCCATCCCCCTCATGGTTGCCTTATTTGACTTATATTGCTGAGGAACCCCCGCAGCATGTGTTGTCACCCCGATGAAAATATTCTTAGAATAGGTCCCTTGTGTTAGTTATTTTACGGACATAAAGTGAGAATAAACGGGAATGGGTAACTAGGTTATTGTTGGTTGATAATAATTAATTTAATTATTTATTGTGGGTTGAAAACCCTATATGCTCACCAGGCTCCCAAGCCTGACCCACTCAGTTTTATTTGTATTACAGGAAGTGGCGCGAGGTCGTAAGATGGATGAACCATCAAGTTGTTTTGTTTACAAGTCTGTATATGTATTTATATTTGTTGAATGACTTGTAATGTTATCGTTTATGCTTATTGGTCTGTATCGGAACATGACACCCCGAGTTTTGATTATATAATGAAAATACATTTCTTTTATGAAATGCTTTGGTAAACATTGTTTTATCATGTTTTGATTTTGGGAACAAATTCCGCAAATCTTATAAATCAAAAGGATTTACTCTGAAATTATTTTAAAAGCATAAATGAAAATCGGTCTTTTCTAGCCGTGATTTTGGGGATGTCACAATAGTTAGTAAGTTTCTAGTCTTGTAAAACTAGAGAAACCCCTCTGCTTATTAATTAATTTAGATAGAATTAGTTTTTAGTTTTAATTTGCCGTATCCTGTGTTCGATACCCTACTTATTTGACTATACCACAATTGATAGGTCCACTGCCTTTGTGTGTTTATTTTACAACTAAAAGTAGGTTTAAAACTAAGTAAGTTTTCACACATCAGTAATGTATAATAAACCATACCTATTATAGTTTATCAAAACAAGGGTAGTAATGGTAATGTATGTAAACAATATTCAACGTAGTTCATTCAATTGTTTGAGTAAAATGGATGTACTTTGATTACAAAAATCGTGTTATCCTTCATATTTCATATGTATATCTATATGAAAATCCATTTATTAACTGATGCATGTTCATATACCAAGATAAAATGTCATTCATTTTCAATAACATACATTCACATAAAGATATACACCTTGCTCAACATGTTACAGTGTGATAATAATATGTTAGCATTTTTCTGTTAGTAACAGCTTCGATCACTGTTATTAGAAAATTTAAAAAAACTTCATAATAGATCCAAATCAGAATCCGTAAATTCTGGGAGTTTGTTTAATGTGTCTATTTTGTTCATAAATTTTTCCATGACTTTTAATGACCTCCAACTTAGGTGAAAACGTCCATAAACACAGACTGGTCCGGATTGGTTCTTGAAATGATAGGCAGTTTTGCAAAAATCACCATAAATTGTAGAAAACTTGTATGGAGATGTGCAAGTATCCATTTTAAAGCTAAGAACTTGAACTACTTTCACCTTGTACAGTTTTGAAAACAAAAATATTTTAGTTGACTAAAACAGTCCGTGAATGGAGTCCAACTTTTATGATGTAAGTTGTTAGAAACATTTAGTTGTGTTATTGATGATTTAACTTGTATTCTCCCCCTTAAAACATAAGAAAATATGAAAATGTAGGGGTATGAACTCACCTTCACTACTAGAAAACAGCCCTTTAATGACGCGCAAACAATGACACGCAGTGATTTACGATACACAAAAGTGTGTGCCCTAAAAATAATGTTATCTCTTCTAAAATTTGAAGGATAGTGGACACGCTTTTATGCGTGCCCTAAAATTAATGTCGAACAAAAAAAAACACGGAGGGCACTTATTTAAAAATGGGTGACGTCTAGAAATGTCGCTTTATATTTTTTTAATGAAATGCGCGTTCTTTTCTTTTGCAGCTGGGGGGAAACGAAAATCCCAAACGTTTGAAAGGCCGCCATTGTTACCCTCTGCCTTATTTCCATCGTTCTTCTTCTTCTTCTTCTTCTTCTTCTTCTTCTTCTTCTCTCTCTCTCTCTCTCTCTCTCTCTCTCTCTCTCTTTCTCTATCTCTCTCACTCTTGTTACCCTCTCCCTTATTTCCATCGTTCTTCTCTCTCTCTCTCTCTCTCTATCTATCTCTCTCTCTTTCTCTCTCTATCTCTCTCACTCTAATACCCAAAAAACCCTAATAACATCACCAATCCTCTTTTTTTCCACAACAAAATCGCAATATAATCCCGTCTTTTGAACAGATCAAACCCATAGGGTTCTCGATGGAAGAGATACAACTTCATACGAGCCCTAATTTCTCATCTGAATTCGTAGGGCTTTTTCAAGAATCATTCTACCTAGGGCTTTTTCAAGAAAATTCAAAATGCTCTCCGATTCTCGATCAGTTCTCCCAGGCCTCTGCAACAATCGACGATCTCACTTCAGGCTTACTTCTTCTCCGGTGAGTATAGGATCACCTCCCCGCGACCATCCTCCTCGTTATAAAATCATCCAGCTAGGGATTTTTCTTCTCGATCTCTTCAGGTCCGTCCTCCAAAAATAAGGAAGAAACTAGTTTGATTTCTCCCCTAAAACCTGGACGACCATGCTACTCGCTTCCATCACTGTCCCAACATGTCTTCATTGTTCCTCCCTCGGTCTCTTCCATCAGGTAGGTTGTTGGGCCATCTCATCTACTCATTTTTTACTATCTTTATTCTCGCTCTCTTTTTTCTTGATTTTTCTTCTCCTTTCTCTGTTCTCCCTTTTATGTTGAATGTTGTTGGTAGTTAGAATCCAAGGGAACAATAGAGGAGAGTCAAATGGTAGTGGTAGACCACCACATTTAGGTGTATGTGTAGGTTAGGGAGGGTTACCAACACCAAAAACCCTCATCCTATCCCAAAGCCCTCATGAAATCGACTCAATGTACATCACCATGCTCAGAACCATTGAATTCTTGGGTAAAACCACATCATCGAGGTATGTGTTTTACATCTAATTTCACCTGTGATATTTCAATTTTTATTAGTTATAAATGATCAAATTTAAAGATTTCTCTGTTCGGATCTTCTAATTTCTCATTTCTACTGGTAATCTCTTATCCCTTCTTTCTTTTTCTGTTGTTCAGATCTTCTAATTTCTCACATTCTAGCCCTATTTAATATCGTTAGTGTTATCCAATTTCAGCTTCAGTTGGTATGATCTATTTGTTGTAGATTGAGATGAGAATTTTTAAGAAAAAAAAATCAAAACAAAGCCTTAAATCATTAATTTAAGGCTTAAATAAATTTGAGAAAAAGTGGATTTATGTTTGATAAATGTCACATAGACTTCAAATATGTTCATTAACACAGATCTATTTCATCCGATTGACTATTTGTTTATTGCTACGCAAACCTGATTATCAAATTCATTTACATATATGATTATAAAAAAATTCATATGATTTTTCCTTCAGCTTCATGGAGTAGAAGCTATGTGTGCTGAGCTTATGCAATTACATGCTGGTATTAAGGAGTTGACTTCTACTCGCCAAAAACTTACTAGTCAAGTTCAGGGTATGACTCAAGATCTTGCTAGAGCTACTGTTGACCGGGTCTACTGTTGACCGGGTCTGGAACGAAATCGCAGCGTCGTGACGCCGAATCCGAACCAGCCCTCGCGTGTTTGGCTTCCAAGTGGATTAAAATGATTTGGAAGGGTTATTTTGGTAGATTGAAAACGAGCCTGTATATTTTATAAAGGGTAAAATGGTAACTGTCATTCCTTGAAGAGATGGAATGAAAAAAATAAGGGTCTCATATGGTATGGAATGACATTCCTTCGTTAATGCTTTTTTCCTTTCTAGTTTATCAACCAAGCAACATTTTTTACTTCTAACTTTATCAAAATGTTATTTTAAATCATAGCCTTTATTAAAGTGTTGGTTGACTTTTTATTGCTATCTTTACTTCTAACTTTATCTTTAGCCTTTAATATAGTAGTGGGTTGATTTAATATGTGTTTTATACAGAAGCGGGATAATTTGGGAGAAAGGGTTATGTCTTTAGCACATTTTAACTTTTCGCGAATTTGAATTGTTTGTTGCTTTGACTTGGAATTTAACTTTCCTATACATATGTATCTGTTGTCTTCATAAAAAAGTGATGAGCACACTAAACAGACAAAAAAAATTAGGAACTCTCTTAGGTGGAAAGACATCGGTATTGTAGCGTCTCATGTTTAATTTTTTGTTTTTGTCATGTTGGTTGTTGATAGATTTATACTTTTTTGTGTAGGACCCACATCTTTTGCCCCTTTCATCGTACGTTTATTGAAGTAAAACTCGGCCCCTTTGACCTAGCTAAGGTTCTGTCTCTTTTTTTTTTTTACTTAATAGGGACATGAATGCTATATATGAGTGTTTCTTTTGACTTAATGCAGATACAATGACTTAATAGAAAAGTATTTCTTATTAAGTTGTATCAATTTTACAAATTTCCCTCGTTTGGTTTTTACTTGAATTTTCCCCAATTTTACCGTCCTTTTTTAGATATCGTTTATAGACAACTCTTAATGTAAATTAATCTTGGATTTAACTCGTGATTCTAATGCAAATTAATCTTTTCTGCAGGTTTTTATTGCCTACATGATTTCTTCCAGAAAGAGAATATTCACCTTCTTTGCATCACTTTGAAATCTTGAAAAATATTACCATCCTAGGTATTTCTTTGAATTGCATTTTCATTTTTGAAACCACAAATATGTTTTGTTTATATCTTTAAATGGGACCAGGTTCTCAAGAAAAGCCCTGATAAGGGGTTACCAAAGAAGCTTTAATGGATTTGCTGCCTATCTCTCCCAAGAAGAAAAACGAAAGTTGGCTGCTAAGTATCGATGACTAGATTTTGCTTCATTTAGATTCCCTTCAAGTTTTTAGAAATTATCATGAAACAAAAATACAAGTAACAGAAAAAATAATCACATAAAATTGACAAAAGAATTATACAAAATTAAGAAACAAGAAAGCAACAAAACAAATGAGAAACATTTTCCAAAACAGTTACAATGGTTCAATGTTAGTATTGATCGTACACAGCCTCTTAATTAATTCAGTGAGAGTGCGTTTGTACGACTACTTTTTTCCATCAATCAAAATTTCTTAACCACACAGAATTTGAGATGCATCAAAAATGACATTATAAACTGTGAAAACAAGAACTCGATATGATCCACATGAACTTTTATATATAATTGACTAATTGTGGATGTAGATACACACACACACATATATATATATATATATATATATATATATATATATATATATATATATGTAGTATATGCTTTGCTAAGATTAGCTAAAACCCTAATTAAATGCAGGTTATGAAGGGATCGTCTCCGTATTCCCATGTCAAAAGTTGCACCTCCAGACAACGAGGTCGTGGGACTTCATTGGATTTCCAATAACAATTGAACGAAGTCCCGTTGGTGAGAGCAACTCGAATATTGGTGTCATAGACAGTGGAATATGGCCAGATTCGGAGAGCTTCAGTGATGAAGGCCTCCGACCAATTCCCGAAAAGTGGAAAGGGGAGTGTCGTGGTGGCACAAATTTCACTTGCAACAGGTACCTTTAAGTTGAGGTGGTCTTGATTTCATAAGAGTAGAGAACTGGATCGAGAACTTATTTGAGGCTACTATCCGGACATTTTAAGTTACCTTCAGCACTAAGGACACTTAAATATCTAATCCGTAGATACAAGTATGTATTACCATTCAAGCTTCACTTTTTCATGTCATTTCACATTTTCGTATGTCAGCATATCAGTTATTATGCTATTCTGCATTTTATTCAACAGGATTCATGTATACAACATTGATGAATTGAATTTATGTGCTCTACCTTACCATGATACACATGTTTTTGTCCGCATTGTGCAACTTATTGACACAGGCCAGGTAAGAAAAGGGTATATCCCGTTCTTCTTTTTCTATTTTCTTTTTGGAAATCTACTACAATTTGAGTGTCCACACAACTCATTCAAAGATGGCTCTGCAGGTACTTCTTTTTAATCTTTCTAAAAATTCATGTTTTATATTTTTATTCAAATTTTGACACTTTCTGAAAGAATATCATGTCTTACATGAATTTTTATTTTCAGATATTTTGCATTGAATGCAAAATTAACTATATCTATAAAGATGTGTTTTTTTAATGTAAAGTTGTGAATCTCTTCTGTTGAATTTATAAAATTCCTAAAACAGAGAGAGTAGAGTCTCTTGCACGAGTAGTTTCCATTTGAAGTTCTAATTAGATGACAGATTGCTTGTTTACTAGATCCAAGCCTTCAATGTGCAAGATTCATATAATTGGAGACTAAGCTGACTGATTTGTTCATGTTTTAGATGGGCCATCGATGTATGGTGAATGAGTTACAGAGATTTCCTGTTCTCAGAAAGAGAATGGATGATGTCATAGGGAATTTTTTAAGTGATGGTCTTCAGCCTTCTGAAACCATGATTGGGCACATAGTTGAAATGGAGGTACGTATCATTATCTCTATTTTTTATTTTTATCGTGACATGGCTAAAAATATTGCTTTTTTGGGTAGATGGATTACATAAACACATCACACCCGAATTTTGTGTGTGGGAGTAAAGTTGTGGAGGTTACCTTGCAGCAAGTGAAATCTTCTAAGCTTGCAACAACAGTGTCGAGGCAAAAGGTGTGGTTAATATATCGTTAATAGCTATAATATTATGTCACGTGCAATTCTTTCTAGGTCTATTAATGGAATTGTCATAGAACAGGTTCTCTTTTTTGCATTTAACTTTTAAATACATTTTATCATTGTTGTTGGATAATATCTTAGAGAAGCAGATTCTTTTTCTAAATTTTTTTAAAAAAAAGAGTTAACATAGCTTTCCAATGGCAAAATAATATCTCGTTCTGTTCTTCTTTCTACCTTTGAAACTGCAAGAGATGCTGGAGCTAGCCCTTACATGAACCTAAGAACAAAATGGAGAAGTGAGTTGAAGATGGAGAAGTGAGTTGAAGAGCTGACATGGAGATTGGACTTTGAAAAGCATTTGAGGGTATTTTTTTTATATTTCTTGTATCTAATTAGTTTGTAAATTTTTGTTACAACTATTGATTTGTTTTTATCTTTCCATGAAATGTTACATTTGTCTACTATTGGAAGGATTATTTGTATGACATTAAATTTTGTGCAATGTATTGTATTTTTTGTATATGGTATTTTATTTTTTATTATGAAAATGCAAATTTAATTTGAAAACTAGTATATCTATAAATAATTAACAAAAAAAAAAATAACGATACACAAAAATGTTTGTCGTCTTTATTTATGACATGGCCTTTCTTGATAGGGACTTCCTTGATACGCATTGCGTGTCAGAAACACGCGCGTCGTAAGATTACGACATGCAAATACGTGTCGTCTTCCTTTATGACAGGGCGTTCCTTGATACGCATTGCGTGTCATAACCGCACGTCGTAAATGCGCGTCATAAATGCGCATCGTAAATGCGTGTCGTCTCTCTTTATGACAGGGCCTTCCTTGACGCGCATTTGCGCGTCGTCTGAGCGTTTTACGACGCGCAATGAGCGTCGTAAAAGGCTGTTTTTCTAGTAGTGCTTGAGTGGTTTGAGTAGATGGATGATGGAGAAATGTAGTATTCCACTCAAGAACACTAAGAATATGTCTTGAAGGTTCGAAGATCTAACACTAATGTGATGGAGTTTGTGTAAGCAATCTATGATTTGGAGTAAGAGGAAGTGAAATAATTATGTGGAGGATGAATATACTTACCAAAAGTGGGAGAAAACTTGGAAGAAGAGCCTTGAATCTCGAATTTTTGGTGAGAGGATTGAGATAGACAAGTGTTTAATCTTTGGTGAAATGAAAGCAAGTGCGTGAGAACGAGGAGAGATGATGAGTGTCCAACTCTAAAAACGTGGGAATAACCTATGAGAGAGGTAATACAAGGAAGTGAGAAGGTATGGTGGGGAGGAGTGTGGGTTAGTCATGGAGTGGGTATGGTGGTTGCTTGTGCCATTATACAAAGAAAAGTCAACACTCCACCTCTTGTTCTTCACCCACTCTTCTTGGATAAGATTTATCCCCAAAAATGTGATTAATTAATAATTAGGGCGCCTTATATGTTAAAATAAAGTTTTGGGTGAAAATCCCGTGTTAAAACGATGAAAAACGAAGTTAAAATGAAGTCGTAGTCGAAAACCGGAAAGAAATGGGCTTCCAGCGAGACCTTTCGATCCTGGCCGGAGGTTCGGTCCTCCTAATGTTGGGCCCGAAAGCAAAATGGACCGAAAGCAGCAGGAAGCGAAATGGACCGAAAGCAGCAAGAAGCGACATGGAGGTTCGGTCCGAAGGTGGCTTCAGTTTGTATGCGAGGTTCGGTTCGAAAGTGAGATGGAGCGAAATGGGCCGAAGGCGAAGCCTTCGGGTTCGGTCCATGGGATTTCGGTTCAGCAGGGTTCAGTTTAGCAGGGTTCGGTTCCTAGAAGGGGTTTCGGGTCCGAGAGGGTTCGGCCCTATAGGAGGGGTTTCGGGTCCTTAAGGCTCTTTTTCTCGTTTTTACCCTGTTTTAAGCCGTTTTTGACCCGGTTAAGTGTCGGGATGCCCCGAAAGACTATGAAAAGTTACGGGAAATTTTGAGAGAGATTTGGGAGAGATTTCAAATAGGAGGAGGTGTGGTGAAAACGATCGAGAGAGGTTTCGTTTATGACCTTTTTGAGTGTCCGGCATCGCAATGCAAGGTCCGTAAACCCCATTAACCATGTTTTAGTGTCTTACACACTCCTTATGAGTGTGCATAAGTGTTTTATCGCTTTGGTTCATTGTTTATTGCATTTACGGCTTAGGAAATTCAATCACACGTAATGTTTCCAGATGATGTTTTCTCATTAAAATAGTGGATTGTTTAGTAGTTACCCAACGTAAACCGTAATACACAAGGGCTAATTGAGTCGTCCGATTTGACTTGTTGACTTTGACTTAACCCGAAATTGACTATTGTCACAAAATCCACGCATATCCTACCAATCAAAGAGACTGACAAAATGGAGAAACTAACAAGAAATTACATTAGGGAGATTGTACAACTGCATGGTGTTCCTATATCCATTAACTCTGATAAAGATAGTAGATTCACCTCGAGATTCTAGTAGTCACTGCAAGGTTCCCTAGGAACGAGGTTGGACATGAGTACAGCCTACCATCCACAGACCGACGGGAAAAGTGAGAGGAGTATCCAAACCTTGGAAGATGTGTTGAGAGCCTGTGTGATCGACTTTGGGAAGTCATGGGATACTCATTTACCTCTTGTCGAATTTTCCTACAACAACAATTATCACACAAGCATAAAGGCTGATCCATTTGAAGCCCTCTATGGCTGAAAGTGCAGATCCCCTCCGTGATGGGCTGAAGTGGGTGACACCCAGTTAGCTGGAGGACAAGTTCCTGACAGCACTCTCACAGGTCCGAAAATCATATGGGAAACGACAGAGAAGATTGTTCAGATTCGTGAACGATTGAAAGCCTCTAGAGACTGTCAGAAAAGCTACGCAGACAAACGAAGGAAACCTTTGGAATTCCAAGTGGGAGACCGAGTCCTTTTGAAAGTGTCACCCTGGAAGGGCTTGATATGCTTTGGTAAGCATTGGAAGCTCAGTCAAAGATACATAGGGCCTTTCGAGATTGTCGTTAGAATCGGCCCTGTAGCTTACAAACTCAATCTACCGCCTGAACTTAGTAACATATATTCTACTTTCCACGTCTCAAACTTGAAAAAGTTTCGGTCCGACGAGACTCTGGTAATCCCACTTGATGAGATCGAGATCAACGAGAGCCTCAACTTCGTGGAAGAACCTGTAGAGATCATGGACCGAGAGGCCTCAACTTCTTATCTATTCGCATATTTAATTGTAACTACTTTATTTGCTTAAACTCTAATTTCGGGACGAAATTCCCTTTAACGGGGGGATGATGTTACAACCCAAAATTTTCATTCGTACAAAATCTAAAGTCAATCTATTCAATTAAAATTCAATTACAATTCTAATAATTTTTAGCCAATTTAAAGTCCGTTTGAGTGTTTTTAGTATCTATTCTTAAGATGAACGAAGGAAAGGAAGTATCGTCTCGGGTCTTGAAGTTGCAAAACCACACATACCACCCTCATAAGGAGTTCACGGACAAACTTTTAGAGTTTGGGTCGTAAACTCCCATGTGGCCGTGAAATAATGCCTTCGGCATGAGTTTACTCCCCAAACTCTTCATTTCTCACTTCCACCCTCAAGTTTACTCCCCATTCTCTCTCAACTAGCATCCCGTTCTTCACCCGATCTTCCGAAAACGTAAGTGTTTCTCGACTTGATTTGTTGTTATAACCTAACATCTAGTAGTTATACATCATTTCATCCATTCATTCTTGGTTTTCAACTAGATCTTCAAGTGTTCTTCAAAACACCAAGAACACAAACTAGTGTTCTTGGACCTTACACACCAAATCAAGCTTCTATCATGTAAGTACACTTGCCCTAGCTTCTTGTGTGCTTAATATGAACTTGATAACACTTGAAAATCATCAATAATCATAATAAAAAAGGATTTTATGGCCAAGGATTTTCTTGGGCCGTAAACCCTTCTTAAAGGGGTTAAATGGACCATAGTCCCTTCCTAAGCCTTAGATACTAACCTTGATCCTTCCTAAAAGTGTTTAAGACCTTAAACCACAATCAAAACATATCCACATAAGAGTTTACGGCCATAAACACATAAGGATATGCTCCTTAGGCCATAAACTCTACAAAGTGGTGATCATGTGCCCTTAATGCTTTCCTAAGGCTTGGACTTGATCATTGGATGCTCAATCTTGACTTATAAGACCTCAAAACACAAAATGGCACTTAGTACCATGAGTTTACGGCCATTAACTCATGGGGATATGACCATGGGCCGTAAAATCCATAAGGATTGGTCCTTGGGCCATAAACTCCAATGCCATGCCATACAACCCTTTAGATGCAACCCTTTGGTACCGATAACACTTGAATCAAAGTGTTTCCATGTCTTAGGGTGTTTTAACTTGATTAATTAGTTTTTAAATGACTCATTAGATACATACATATTTTGACGTTCTTTATATCCACGCGTAGGTGGAGACGTACTCTAAAACTTTTGTTTAGACTCCGTCGGCTAATTGTGACTTTATTTTTAAAGTTATATTTTTAACAAGCCAGAACATGATTGGTATGTTAAAATCTCATAACTTCTTCATCCGATGTCCATTTTCATCTGTCTTTTTATCATTAAGCTACTAATAATGAGATCGTTGATTATCGTTTAGGTTGTGTCGCCTAAAAACCGCTCGATCTAATACTCGAACTTCGGGTTTGTACACCGCTAAGCCGAAACTTCGAAAAATCATAACTACCTCATAAGAAGTCAGATTTGGCGTTTTTTTTATGGATGCTCTCAAGTTAACATATTCTACGACTTCAATTTAGATTACTAAGGCTAAAAGAAGCTCTATCATCAATTCATTTTTTTACGTCTCCAGGTGTCGTGCCGATTTTGCAGTAAAACTTCAACGTGCCATAATATCTTCGTTATAACTCGGATTTTGGCGTTCATTATATGTACGGAACCCTTGAGACATATTCTACAACTTCTTTAAGATTATTTATTCTAAATAATCTTTTGTCGAAAAATCATTTTTAACCCCTATTATCTCTAAATTAACCAGCCCGGATCTACGGATTTTATCATTCATAGCCCAATTAATGTTAAAATCAATTTAGTGTCTAACTTGTTACTTGACCATTGTAATATTAGTTCACGAATTATATAAATACTAGAAGATCGGAACAAGATCACTAGTAACTTTATAATTTGGCAACCACATAAATAATCCATATTATTAGAAATCAACCATACTAAAAAGGTGATTCGAAGCTAAACGAATGTGATTTTTAATCTTGATTTTAAATCATTCTCTTCTTCTTT